TTTTTAAGAAGTGGATAAATAATGTATGTATATTTCATTTGATCATTCATTCAATCATTCATTCATTCATGCATATTCATTTTATGTTTTCTTATTTATTTATTTATTTATTTTTGTATATTTTTTATCTTTCTACAATATTAGTATTCATTTATTTTTCATACAATATTATTTAGTCCTTTAATTAAAAATTTATTAATCAAATAATATATCAAAAATAATTAAAAAGTTGGATGAGGGATGAAGTGTCTTACTGAATGGGGGGGGGGGGGGGTGAAGTGTCTTGAGGGGTGAAATGTCTGGGAGTGAAGTGTATTCTTGCTACCATTCAGACAATAAAGCTCTATATAAAACAGTTGTTTGGAAATATAACCCTAGTCGCTAGTTGCATGCCACATTACTACGTTAAAAATTATAATATTATGCTTCAAGATACAGTAGTTCTCCCTTTTCTCTGAGTTTTTACCTACAAAATACATATCAATGTACATCTACTTACCAAAAAATTTAAGATGAATAAGACCTGAATCCAGGTGAATGATTTGTGCATCTTTTTCTTGAGTGTTTTTTTTTTTGTAAATTGGAGGTTTTTACATTTTTGAAACCTCATTAGCAGTGTATTGAATATAAATCTTCAATTTTCTTCTTCCATATTCTCTTATTACAAGTTGATTTCATTGATTACAATGTTGACTTTTGTAGATGTCAAACCTTATCCGAATTTTCAGTCCGAGCACTAGCTATTATACTTCTAGCTCTCCGATTTATCGCATGCTCCCAACATTATTGTAAGGATTGGGCTATCCAGGATAAAAATGTTTCTTTTGTCAGACAATAAAAAGTCAGTTCTGCATTCCAAAAAAATAAGTACTTCATACAATAAAGCATTTATCTAAGTTCAAAGCCTTGATAATGTCCGTGTTGTCACTCCGGTATTTACAGCTAAACTCTGTTTTTCAAGAGTAGGGTTACAATAATTTAATAATGATTATGAAATAGAATCTATACTGTGAGGAAAAAGAAAAAAATCTTTTGGATGAAAAAAAATAAAATAAAATCTTTTGGATGATTTGACAAATTCGTTTTAAATGTTTGACAACTCTTGTCTATGGTCTTTGAATTGGTCTTCTTGTATGTCTGACAGCAACAGTTCTTTTGTAAATACACATATTTCTGTCCTTGGGAATATTTCTTTCTTCAGGATTTCTCTTGATATCTCGTAAAGGATACAGTCCTCTAAAAAATATGTTACTGTCTCCACTTCTCCACAATTACATAGACTGTTTTAAGCCCCAATCATTTAGGCAATATCCACTTTGTAGTTGAATTAACTAAGTTGTTAAAATATTCAGAAAATTGCCTCCACTGACACGGAAGTTGCCGGTAAGCTGTGTTGTGTATACGGCTAATATACAAACGAATTATTTTCATCGGATATTATGATTGAAACTTCGTCGATTCCAAAATGGATAATAGCTGGATTTGTTATTTGAGAAAGGGAATGAACAAATCGTCTGCTAGTCGGCCATTTTATTTCTTCATTTTTATCCCTTAACCTTTTTTCCTTAAAAGTTAAGGGAGCATATGGGGTACTTTGATATTTGTGGGAAAAATCGACCAAAGTTAAGGAATTTTTATCCTAAGGAGTTTTATGAATAGCAACTAAAGAAATTCTTAAAAACTAAGGGAAATCTTAAGTATTTTAAGGGAAATCTTAGAATCTAAGGGAAATTTTTCCCTTAGGAGCTTTATGAATACGGCCCAGAGCAATGTCTGGCGGCACGTTTTGGCATCTTGAATAAAGTCAAAGGTAATGAAAGTTTAGTTCCATTTTTAAATCTTGTCATCGATAATGCAGTAATATTCTTAACAGAATGTATCTACATTATTTCGATGCTCAGCATCTGTTAGGTCAGGTCTTCCGGACACAAGTACTTGTCGCGTCGCGTGAAACTAAATTGCTCACTTGTCAGAAGTTATAGCTGTAAACTTAAAAAATGGGCTTTGATAACGATTTCTATTTCTTATATCTATAGATTTATGAAAAAGTTAAACAAAAAACCATCTCATATTATTGCTACTATTGACTTCGGGACAACCGGCACCGGCTGGGCATTTGGGTTTAATCATGAACTGTCCACAATGCCAACAAAAGTCCATACGAAAACATGGGTTGATGGTAGTCGAGTGTCATTCAAAGGTAATTAATTTAAATGTATTTCCAGTTAATTGAAATTTATGTTATTGAGGCATAACATAGCTTGCTGTAACATATTTGCAGGAATACATTAACAAAAGTGATAAATATTAGTACGACATTAAATTTACTGTTCAAGTTTTGGTGCCATGTTATAGCAATATTGTTATTGTCACAAACGTATCGTATTGAAGGTTCTATGATACTTGCTACTGTAAAATGTTAGTGATGTTTATTAATTCAAAATTGAAATGTTGAATTCTTCAGCTGGATGCGTGAACGGTAAATTGCTGTTACAAATAAGGAATCGTGTCACATCGAATATATATTACACTATACTGAACAACCGTATAATCACATCAGCAGATGTTTTACATTTAAATGTCACCTTAATTATATCTAAATATTGATTTCTTGTTAAACTGGTGCTTGAGGAGTGTGGGAAGGGGCTTTGGCGTTAACGTTCAATTATCACTTCCGTCCATTTTCACACTTAATCAGCCGAACTGAAACAATATTTTAATAAATCATTTAGTGATTGCATCTTTCTTTAGTTCGTAATCTCAATTGTAATCTCAATTGATAGCTTAATTGCATGAAATATTTCAAGTATCTGACGGAAGAAGAGTCCAAATCGGTCTAAGGTAATTTATTCCAAGTCAGCTACTTTAAATCACTAAGCAAGCAACATAATGTGTCAGTCACTTGACCTATTTCGTTTTTCTTTTGATAGCATCAACTAATGTTCTAATTTGTCCGGATGGGAAAACATTTGATTCTTTCGGATATGAGGCTGAAAACAGATATGCTGATCTGGTTGATAACAACGAGCACACAAAATGGTTCTTTTTTAAACATTTCAATATGAACTATGATGACAGATTGGTACGTTTAAACACCAATTTGATTACATTTCAGTAAACAAGAAGAAAAACAACAAAAATTGTCGTTATTTACTGTCATTTTCATATTTATTTAAAATATCAAAATTGTAAGCAAGTCCTTAATAACTTCTGACCTTATTTATGCTAAAGATATTCTGTACAATTCATTTTTCTAAAAGTAATCAAAAGGATGGTTTCTCCTTTCAGGGCATAGTGCGTAACATAATGTTTGAGGATGTAACTGGTAAACAGCTGGAAGCGAAGACAGTGTATGCTTTGTCCATCAAATATCTTAAAGATGACCTAATGCAGCTGTTAAATACAAAGTGTTCTGTTGCTTTTGACGAAGATGAAATTTATTGGGCGTTTACAGTACCAGCTATTTCGAATGATGCAGCAAAACAATTCATGACTGATACCATATTAGAAGTATTAGCATTTGAATTAAGTATACCATATACAATAACAAGACATAAATGAATAAATTAAATATGATTTGAACATGAAGGACTATCAAAGTTAATAGATGATTATGTTGTACAGAAACACCAACTACTAAGCTTATTTATCATGCTTAAAATATGATAGTTATTAGGATTTCTTTCATATCAGGGTTTCTTAATATGGATAAACATATTTTTGTGCCCCCACTATGGGGGGCATATAGATTTACCCTTGTCCGTCCGAGCAAACATTTTGGGTTTAGGTGCTATGTAACAGTAAAGAGAACAAAAGAGAACAATATGTTTATTCCGTGATCAAAGGGTTTATGGGCTAGTAGCCCTTAAGAAAACAAAGAAAATAACAAAGAAAATAGACCCTAGACCCAAAATGTTGGAACGTCCGTCCGTACATCCGTCCGTCCTTCCGGACGAACATCCAATAGTATATGAGCTTTATTTCGTCTATGATTTTAGTTAAAAAAAGAAGAAAATCTCATAAACCGACTGGTGAATGTTGTAATTTTACTAGTTTATTTGGAAAAGTGCCACATAAAGATGAAAGGAAAAGCACATAAACCCCAAATGTTGGCATGTCCGTCCATCCCGTTCTTCTCTATTAGTGTGGCACGTAGCTCAAACAGTAATTGACATAGTGTCATGAAACCTTACAGGAATGTTGACCATCATGTGAAGTTGTGCGCCTGGGTATTTTCATGTGGATAAATTTAGTATTTTCAGAGTTATTGCCCTTGACTTAGTAAAAAATGCAATTTTAAACTTGTGTCGCACGTAACTAAAACATTATTTGACCTAGAGTCATGAAACCTTACAAGAATGTTGCTCAACATGTGTTGTTGTGCACCTGGGTATGTTTGTTTGGATATTTTAGTTGTTTTTAGAGTTATTGCCCTTGACTTAGTAAAGATTTCCAATTTTCAACTTGTGTCGCACGTAACTAAAAAATTATTTGACATAGAGTCATGAAACCTTACAGGAATGTTGTCAGCTTGTGTTATTGTTCACCTGTGTATTTTCGTGTGGATATATTAAGTATTTTTAGAGTTATTGCCTTTGACTTAGTAAAAATTTACAAGATTCAACTTGTTTTGCATGTAAATCAAAAAGTATTTGACCTGTACGCCTGAAAGTTTACAAGACAGTTGGTCAGCATGTGTACTTATGCACCTTTTGGTTTTCTTTTGGATTTATTTAGTATTTGAAGTATAAGCCCTTTACCTAATAAAAGATTTTTAGTTTTCAACTTGGGCACATGTAGCCAAAAGAAGAAAAAAAGATCTAGAGACATAAGATTGACAAATCGGTTGAGTGTGGGGACATCCGTGTCCTTTGGACACATTTCTAGTAACGATGTATGTTTTAGGCAGGCATAAGGAAGAACTTGTTAGCAATTGCACCAGAACCCGTGGCAGTTTCTTTGCTTTGTCGAAACCTTCCAATTGAGGAAACTTGTGGTCTTTACAAAAAATCATTTGCAAATTTACAAGCTGGAGGGAAGTACATGATTGTGGATGTTGGAGGTGAGATTTTATTCTGAATATTAAAATCGAATCCGTTTGTTTCTGTTACAATATTGCTTGACAAGCAATAAAAAACTTTATTGGATGTTGTAAAGTCACTAAAAAGAAATACTGTTGTTTAATCAACAAAATTAAATTGTAACAAATATAAAAGTCTTATACTTTACTATAAGAAAAAAAAATGAAAGAGAAAACGTATTTTCATTCTAATTTACTACAGTTAAATTTAAGAATTTAAGTAAGAATACACAAAATGTTAATAACCCGGTTATAAAAAACGTCTCTTAATGCTATGGATCTTATGATGTAAATGCTATAAAATAGAGCACCCTTTTAGTCTAGTGCGCACATTATCTGAGTATTTTCTCTCACCTAGACTGGTACATGATAAAGTTTATTACTTTCGTAATAGCACTCATTTGAATTAATCAAACTAAGTCATAGCCAAAAAAAACACAATAATGATAAAAAGAAATATCTCATTAAAGAAAACAAACCGTTGCAATAACAAATAGGCACATTGGTGGGCTGGTTTTGAGCTCTATTATCAATAAGCCAATATTTAACATATTCCGCGAAATAAAGTTTAAGAGCGAAACAATGAGGAATGCATTTTATCTTTTCTTTATTTCAAATGGTAAAGGCGAAACTATTCAGATCACTGTTCTTGAATTATTGAGTGACGGGGATTTTAGAGAACTATATGCGGAATGTGATGTAGGAATGGGTGGAAACAAGGTAGATGAAGCGTACGAAGCTTTTCTGACTGAGATCTTTGGTAAGTTTCTTAAGCTGACTGATGTTACAAAACAATCACGCGGGTGGAACCCCATATGTATCTCAAAAGTGAGCATCGGTTAAAATTACATGTGAATTTCCGCTGCACCAGATGTGAAGCATAACACCAGATGTGACCGTAAAATAGGTCAATCGCAGGTTTTCACCTTTTTAAACATTAATTTAAAATTCAATCCTTTTGTTAAGAAAATCGAAATGTGATTCTATCCTCCTGACTCTCCATTATAAAACCATATTTATTTTGGATTTCTATGCAGTCTTCATCGAGATATTCTTCCCGTCGTGGGTTCTGGTGTGTCCAAAACATGCAATGTGAATGAAGAAAATGTCACTTAACGGACTCAAAAAAACAACAACAAAACAACCCCCCCCCCCCCAGAGATTGTGCGAAATCTCCAATGCAGGCCAATGCTTAACATTCAGACAAATCCTGATTTACGTCATGTGTACTGCAATCATTCCCTTTTTATGCCGTCATGCATTAATTAATTAAGTAATTATTCACTTTGAATTTGTTGTGACGCAGTTAGAAAGTTAGTGATAAACTTTTTGAAAAATATCAAAGAAAACTTTGCATATTTATTTTCCGCATCAAGGAACGTCCTTGCATAATATTTACATGGTTCACTTCATGCCATAGTCAAAATTATTGGTCAATTTCTATTTGACTTATTTTATGCCTGCTCTGTAACTGATATAAATTTTAAAATCCATCTTTTGGCATGCCATCAAAAATGCTAATGAAACGGCGGTAAGCGTAATACTGGCGCGACCCAATTATTTACAGCACTGTTTTTCAGTGTCTTTGGTCATCCAACCAATCAGGAACACCCAATATCCTTCTGATTGGCTCATATGCTGGGTAGTTACAATATCGATTATGACGCGTTACATGAAAAAGTAACCGGTGTTCCGAATGGGGAATTAAATTCATTAAGAGAAGCCAATTACAAATTGAAATTTTATGTTTATTTAAATTTTCATTTCTGTTTATCATGCAATAAAACAGTTATAATATATCGAACTTGACTATAATGTAGAAATATCATTACCTAGGGCGGCATCTCGGGTTTTCCTTAAAGACAATGTTCTCGGCCCATATTCTGTAAAGAAAAACCTTCGATGTCGCACAAGGCCATGATAAAATTTTCACATAACAGTCTGTTGTTATATCTATAACTTATGGAATATTACAGTGATAGATATTTTCATGAATGTAAACATTTTTATAGAAACATATTATATGACACGATAGCTTTACAAAGTTCAATACTTTCAGTTTGGTTTGTCCAAGTTAAATATCCTTTATTAGTGCATTGTTTTTCATACGAGTACTCTCCCCTCTGCGTCAATATTTTAATGTACTCGGGCCTTTTAGTATTTTTCATGCTAGCATAAGCTTGTGAGCCCTGTCATTGTGGTGATCAAACACACTAATGTTACTATTGAACTTTTAGCCAAAGCTACGAAACCTAAATTGTTTCTATACATTTGCTATTTAATGATTATATGCTAGGGCCCGTAGTTTTGTAGATGGGTTTCTACATCACTTATCGATCTCTTTAGCACTTATGGAGCTCAAATGCATTTTTAGGCAGCGATTCCTTTGTTTGAAGCCAAATCTCAATAAATGTTTAAATCAGGATTTGTCTGAATGTTAAGCATTCGTCTGTAGTGAGATTTCGTAAAATCTCTGTTTTTTTTGAGTCCGTTTAGTGACATTTTCTCTTTCACATTGCATGTTTTAGACACACAAGAACCCACGACGGAAAGAATATCTTGATGAAGACCGCATAGAAATCCTAAACAAAAATGGGTAATATAGAGGAGATTCAGGAGGGTAGAATCACATTTCGGTTTTCTTTAAAAAGTACTGAATTAAAAAATGAAAACTAACACTGCGATTGACCTGTTTTTACAGTCATATTTGGTATGATGCTTCACAGTTGGTGAAGCGGAAATTCATATATAATTTTTACCGATGCTCATTTTTGAGATACATATGGGGTTCCACCCCCGTGACAAGGCTTCTTGTATATATTTTGAGACAGTTTTTATTGTAAATTGCTATTTATATTGCTCTAGGAATTAAAGTTTGGATTGAGCGTTTTTATAATTTCGCAAATGAAATAATTTAAAAGAAGTTATTTCTTTCTCTTCCTTAAAAGGTGCAGATGTTATAAGAGAGTTCAAAAAGAACAATCAAGAAGACTATAAAGTTATGCGTCGACAATTCGAAAGCATGAAGATGAGTTTGAATCTGCATCAAATATATGAAACAGAAAATGTCTCTTTTAGAATTTCAGGATCATTTTGTGACATAGTTAAAGAGTCGGTAAAAGGGTCTATCGCTCTATCAAAATATCAGAACGAATTTGTCCTTACCTGTGGCAAAGCGAAAATCAAATCTTGTGTTTTGAAGCGTTTCTTCGAAATTCCATTAAGATGTATCTTTGACAACATGAAGGCAGTTTTCGCAGAACCACAAGTGTCTGGTTGCTCGACAATTCTCATGGTTGGTGGATTTTCGAGGTCCCCAATCCTGCAAGAATACATACAAAGACAATTCCCAGATAAAAACATTATTATACCACAAGAGGCTGACATAGCTGTGATAAAAGGAGCTGTCATTTTTGGCCATACTTAGAGGGGTCAACGCGAAACTAGTCTATCTGACATTTTTTAATAAAAAGTCTTTTTACATTTTCTGAAAAGTCTTTATAGTCCTCACATTATGTGTTAAAATCGTCCTTTTCCTGTGCAAAGTTAAGGACACAAAACACATTTGTCATACTATTCTATCTGAAAAGCCTTGTATGTTTTTGTTCATTGTGAAACCAGTCTATCTGCAAAAAATTTGCACAAAGGCTAGTTTCGCATTGATATTAACATCTCTTTTTAAGTCAACTAGATTATGTGAAGAATATGAAGAATTTGTATCAATTTTTCTATACAATTGCATTATTTCAAGAATTAAATTAATTTAGATCATTAAAAATATCAATGTTAATTCTGAAAATGTAACAATTGAGAAAGTTTTTTTCCTTCTCCTGAACATTTAAAAAAAAAAATGCACATAGACTAGTTTTGCGTTGAGCCCTCGACTTACTGTACACAATAGTAAATTGAGATGCATAAAAGTAAAGGTAGTCACCGTAACGCGTCAATTTAATTTGAAATTCATGTTTATCCACTATTCAATGTCTTCCGATTTAAACAGCCATGGAACCTGCCTGGCGTATACTTAATACATGTTATGTTCCCTTGCTATTACTTTATGAATTTCATATACTACATTAAAAAAAACAACAACAACAAAGGTGTCACTGGTTCCCATACAGTGTGTGAAATGTCTATCTTTTTCAAAGATTGTTGTAACGCAATCTACAACATTTCGGACAGGCTACTTTTGGTCATCTGATACGTTTCTTATACAAAATACTGTCATCACCGCTTCTTAATCGTGTTTGACAATTAAACACAAGTTGCCCTTAACAATTTATGGTTGATTTTGTTTTTCAAGTAAAGATTATAATCATTATTAACGTTGCTTTGAAGTTAAATAACATTACGTTGCTCCGTCCTTGAATTTGACGTCATTTTTGCGACACAAAACTAACGCAACTTCATTGCCTATAATCGTCGTTAACAAGTTGTTTCTTTGCGTATGACGTCGTAATTTTCACTAAATATCACGCAATAGTACCCTTTGATGTCACAATATTAAAACAAGAGTTTGCGTTAAAATTACAACTTTTAAAAACTTTTTATTCGAGTAGCTATTGTCATGAAATCAAAGTGCTCCGTGATTCGTTGATCATGTTGCCATGGTGATTGGCGATTTGCGAATACAACTTTTATCATGTTTTTTAATTTAGAAATCTGTAGCAGAATAAATACTTAAGCAAAATATTTAATCATCATATTAATATGACTTCTCATAATAATTTTATAGCCTTGTCTACGAACTTTCCGGACAGCCCTCCGGGAAAGTATATGGTCGTTTTCTTTCTTTATTCCGAAAACATATGTATAATGTATGGTATAAAACCTTTCTGAAGATGTTGTTATTGTTATGGCATTTTTGACAGACGAGAACAGTTTTATGACGGTAGATGTTTCTTGTGTTTATGCCTGACAAAGTGTTTTCAATATAAATTAAAAAATATTGGAGCGACATAAATGTATAAAGATTTGTTTGTTCCTTTACTTGACTTGTTTTATATTATATGCATAATATTGTAAATAAATAAGCGTATTATAATGAAATAAATGTAGAGGAAATATATTCTTAGTTGTAATTTTAGTTACGATTGTCTTGTTTTTTAAATGGAATATTGAGACATTGAACAACAAATAAAGGATGATTATGATACGAGCGGCCTTCGCGGTCGCCGGTTCAAAACCTATGGTGCCGCCGGAAACGCTCTTCACGTCGTATTTTCGTGTTTTCGTCCAGCGCTTCCACAAAGCTAAAATACGACATGAGACAAACCAGCCATTATAAATTCAGGTAAACTTGAAAGCGAAAAAAAAAATAAATCAATAAATAAATAAATAAATAAAAATACAAGTAAAATAAAATAAACATAATTTCTGTTTAAATATAAACATGTTAAACACATTAAGTAAAGTAAAATATATTTGCATTTCAAATGATTTCAAAAACACAATATTCTTTTCTGTTACCTCGCTCTTAATATCACGTGTAAATAGAAATCGTTGGTTTTATGAATATACATTATACATACATCTTGAATTCTTCTTTAATATAAATGTTATTTACATACTCGTATACTTGCTCCGGAGGAAAAAAAAAACATTTAAGAACAAGTTAAATGTTGATGTTGCACATTAAAGACGCCGCCAAATGATGTGACCAGTCAATCAGTATTGAAAATCGTTCTCTATTACAGTTGAATATCCGAAGCACAAACCATTTTTTTCTCTCCATTTTCTTGGTATGTGCTCGTTGTTGAATAATTAAAGTGGATATTTTTGTGAAAAGGTAGAACCTAACGCATCATTTCACAAAGTAATGCCGTGTCTGAAATTCTTAAATGATGTATGTTGCGACAAAGATTGAAACGTCTGGTCGTAGTAAAATTAATTGGATAACCAGTAACAGGGCTGGGAATCAAAACTGCGTCGTATCCCACAAAATGTAAACAAACGCCGCCATCTTGGAACGAAAAATGTATGTTTTTGTTTATAACTTTTTTTGTTGGAAATGACTGAAAACCAGATATATGTATTAACACGCTACACTATTTTCCGCTTCGTTCGGTATATGTTGCTTGCACAACTATTTTGTAAAACAAAAGTTATAGCGAACTTGCAACTCGAAGCGGAGCAGAATTTTTATGAAAATGTGTGGATACGACGCAGTTCATTTTGCTCTATCTATCGTTTTTTCCTTCAAATCAATTATATATTTGTTTCAGAGTTCACCATAAACTTCAAAATATAATTTTGCATCATTTACTAAAATTTCATTAAAAAAAGATGTTTGTTTTCTAAGAAAATAATTCCTTTTACGAAATGATACGACGCAGTTGAAAATAAAATATGATACGACGCAGTTTTTGGCAGTCTTTTCAACAGGGATAATTTTGGCAATATATTTCTATTTTATGGAATAATCACTTGCGCTAGATTAAAAAAAACCCAGATCATTTACGATGTATAGCAATGTTCTGTTGCTTTTGATTATTTAGAATACATTGTGTCATGTCCAATATAACATTTAATTTGAAAGTTTACATTGCGGAAGCTACTTTTCAGTTAAACATGAACATGTTACCTAATTGATCATAATATCTGAAAAATTTCTTATATTTTCCTGTATGTTCAATATTATCCCTAATTTTTTTCGCAAAAATATGTATATAATTGATTTGAAGGCAAATACGATAGATAAAGCAATATGAACTGCGTCGTATCCACACATTTTCATAAAAATTCTGCCTCGCTTCGAGTTGCAAGTTCGCTATAACTTTTGTTTTACAAAATAGTTGTGCAAGCAACATATACCGAACGAAGCGGAAAATAGTGTAGCGTGTTAATACATATATCTTGTTTTCAGTCATTTCCAACAAAAAGAGTTATAAACAAAAACATACGTTTTTCGTTCCAAGATGGCGGCGTTTGTTTACATTTTGTAGGATACGACGCAGTTTTGATTCCCAGCCCTGACTATGTAATTTTTAGAATAAGACAACTCATATACTTTTGACAGACACTAAACAATTTGTTTAAACATATAAGTATATTGCATAATTGGTTCGTTCGTTTCTTCGTTCGTTCCTTTGTTCTTCCTTCTTCAAATTAACATCAAAATTTGTTTTGTATTTTTCTAAAGGTTATCAAAATTACGTATATTTGAATGTATTTTGTTCTAAATGTTCATGTTATAATAAGGAAATGCCTCTTTAATATAATTTGTTATAGGTCTTGTTCGTAGTACAATACCTTTTCTGACCTAGATTTTAAGTTATTCATTTCGTTGTCTGATTAAGTCATTAGTTCTGTCATATAAGTCGGTGCCATGTTTAATTTAAAGTTTAAAAAAGCACCGCCGTTTGGTATTAACATCTGTCAAGAAACGGTAACCAGTTGAGAGCTTCGAATAGCTTCATTGACGGTGAGCTTTGTGGTTGCTGTAAAATCAAATTAGCAATTCGTTTTTGTAATTTACAAACATTATTTATGTAGTTTGTGTTTCCTTTACCTCATATAATACAACAATAGTCCATAATGAACAGTATATTGTGGGGCCCATGATATCATCACAAAGACGAGAAATGATTAGTTTTGATCAACTATCTTCTACTGTCCGAATCCAGCCCTATCCAAAAATATGGCATGCAAGCTGTCAGTCACAGAAATTATATCATAATTACTTGGTTCTTCATTAAAGTACAGGTTTAATTCAATCAATTACCGGTCACTGAAGATACCTTGGGTGTAATTATACACTGTCAACACTTACAAATTCTGTTTTATCTGTGTAATTAATTTTCATCGCTCTTCGTAAGATTTGCGGTTGTCTTGGTTGAAATTGTTGGAGTTTACGACATTCCGTTAATTAAATACCCCTTCCGGGAATCGGTAAAACTTATCATACAGGTTATAAATATTAGTTATACATTGTCTATTGTTATTTTTGCTATATATATGTAGCAAGATTTATTTTAGATACAGCGACATGGTCTTTGAGTAATGTACATGCAAGTTTAATTTAAATTTTGCTCATTAAAGTTTTAATGAGGAATGGCGAAACAGCAACCTTCCAGTTTCCAACGATTCCTGCATAGCTTTCCTGTAATTTCAACATCGTATGATATAAAAGCTCGAGCACGCCCTTGATCGACCTCTTGCACGCCTAAAAATCGTTAGGGTTAATCCACGAGAGTTATTCTAGAATTTTCAGACTTATTTTGTTGATTCTTGACTGTTTGTGTAACCGGATACAGACGAAAGTGAAAGTAAGTGATGGCATTCGATGTTTGGATTCTCCAGTTGGAAGTTCCATGATTCAGTTAAGTTGTTTCTTGTTCATTTTTATTTTTGTTTTAGAAGAAGATGCTGACGGACGCTAAAGATGGCCGATGACCTTCATATTTTCTTTGAAGTTTTGATCTCAAT